AGGGTGATCACGCCGCCTCCCCCCCGTTGCCCCCCAGTGCGCAGGCCGCCTCCCAGGACAGAGGGCGCCTGCCGGTGCCGCATCGGCGCTCTGGGTGCCTGCTGGGGTGGACAGGGCAGCCCCCCAGCGCTAACCAGGACCCAGCCCCAGCACATCATGCGCCTAGGACAGAGGCTCTTACCGGTTTCACCTCCACCTGCTGCTTCTGCTCCTGTCCTGTGAGGCTCGTGCTTCCTCGCGGCTGCTATTTATACAGGCCAGGGGCTCGTCACGCAGATAAGCGGGAACGTGCTCCCAAGGGCTGGCGATGTGGCGCGGAGAGTTCAAGGATCGAACACATCCCCCGCCGTGGCCAGGCGCGATCAAGGAGCAGCTGCCTGGCAGGAGAGGCCAGAACAAACAGGCTCCTGCAGCAGGAGCTTCCAGACCAGCTCACCTGTTTACACTGCAGCTGACCCAGATTTCCCACCCACCACACGGGGACCTGCCTCCCCCACAGGCCTCCCCAAAGCCCTGGGGCTGGCTGGGAGCCAGTGGACGAGCTTTGCATCCTCTGCATTCAGCCGTTTCCAGCAGCGCTCTGGCCTCTGCCTGTTTCTTTTGAAAGACAAACTTGGACTAGCCCCCCCCGTTACAGGCAGACCCGTGTGCCCAGCGCAGGCCAGGCCATCGGGAACCTGCCAGCAAGTCGCGCTGGGCGCGGGGGCGGTGACGGGGTGTAGGACCCATGACAAGGAGGGAGGCTCTGATGTCCTGATAGCCGGCCCCGGCCCCCGACACACAATTCTCAGCCTCCTGAGAACGGCTCAGCCTGGAGGACGACTGCCAAAGCCGAGACGACCCCGGCTCAGCCAAGCCTCCCCCGAGGGCCACAGGAAAAGGGCCTCAGGTCCATGAACCAAATCCTTGTGTGCCCACTGAAAGGGACAGGATTCCTCCCTGCCAGAGGCGGCCCTACGACAGCCAAACCTGCACAGTGCCCCACAGACGGCCCGGCCCAGCGTCCGCCTGGCTGGAGGCCGTGTGGCACGAAGGGGGAGTCTCTGTCAGCCCCAGGCAGCCGGCGCTGCAGTTGGGCCGTGCTGGGATAAGGTCTGGGTTTGGGGGCGAGGAAGCCGGTGATAATGGAGGGTGTGCGGGAGGAAGCAGCAGTGACCCCATCCCAAGCATAAAGCTCCGGTCACTCCCAATCAGCAGCTGCAAGGGATCCTCAGCGGAGGCCCTGCCGGAGTCACCGCAGCGCCAGCAGGGAAAAGGGGGCGGGCGCCAGGATCTCTTGGCACACGCACAAGCGCTTTGCACGGAGCCTCACGCTGCGCTGCAAACCCCGCGGGTATCCAAGTGAAACCCGGCACCTGCCCTGCCCACACTGAGACCCCCCAGAGCAGCAGGGATTCCTGCTCACACACTGGAGACGCTTGGACATGCGGAGCCTTCCGACACAGCGGGCCGCCAGGGCACGGCCAAGTCCTGCTCTATCCCTCGGCCTTAGGCGAGGGCCGGGCAGGGAAATGGGAGATGCCAGAGGAACAGATCAGAGCAACAGGCCCAGCAACCCGAAGGCTCCACACGGCTCAGGCACTCGGTCACTTCATCGCCTGGAGCTGGTGGTTCTGCTGGACGGCGTCAGCCTGGGAGACGGCACACGCAAATCTCGCCCACGTCTGCCGAGTACGTTTATGGTCAAAGCAGATACAATCCCCCCCCAGCCGTGCAGCTTCTCAGGGGAGCTCTGTGCGGCCTTCTCAAGCCACTTGGCTGCATGCGGACACACGACAAAGACTATCCATTGATGGCCAATGGAGTAAAAGTCTTCGAGCCTCGGGAAGTGCTGTGCACAGACCGTCCCCCTCTTGGACATCCGCTGGCACTGCCCTACGCCCAGACCCGACCACGCACCTTCCAGCAATGGTTAGGACAGCAGTTTCCAACCTCTGTTCATGTACGGACCCCGAGAACGCGTTGACTGGCGGCACAAAGCCCTGTGGGTAGCTTAGGCCTGGCCTGCGGACGAGAGGCACGCGTTCGCACGGTTCTTGCGGAGGAGTTCAGCCCAGGCGTCGCACGGCAGGCCGAGGGAGTCTGTTTCCACACGCAGGAGCCCCCTTCCGTCTAGTTTAGGTCTGGCACGCCAAGAGCAGGTTGGACGGCAGCCTGAAACATGCAGCAACCGGAGCGCCGCCAGCTCTGGCGGACTTGCACTTTCCACTTCGGGGAGGTTGTCCAGAGCACTGAGGCTGGCCTGGCTTCTCCTCCGCCTCCGCCAGTGAGCAACACCACAAACCAGAGATCACGTAAGATCATAATCATGATTTTATTTGTCATGATCCCACTGTCCAACTAAGTTACTAGTTGCAAGTGACCCACAAAAAAAAAAAAATGGACTAAAGATTTACTGAAAGTTTGTTTTTAGTCCAGCATCAATGAGGAAGAAAAAATACTTCGGACATTTCCAAAAAACAGAAATAATAGCAAAGTATATTAATGTACATTCAACATATACTGCGCGTATTGATTACTACAATACAAAGCAACGATAAAAAAGTGTGATACTGCGAAATGGCACGGTTAAGCAAGTCCCTGCTTTTCTTTTGGATGGCTACTGTAGGGCAGCTGTCAACTCTCCCAGAAATACAATGTCATGTAAACAAAAGGAAAACAAATCAAAGCTACAGAGCAATGTCAAAAAGGCTTTCAGTGTTCCTTAGTACCTTCTTGCTGAAGTCTGGCAAGCCCTGTCTGGGTCCCCCACCCTCCCCAAAGACACACCGCCTATTGGACATGGTAAGGAAATGTGACTTGACAACTACACACCAACAAAACCAGAGCAACAGGAGGCTTCCTAGAAACGTTGACCTGGGAGGTACTGCTCCTCAGTTGCAGATTTCCTCTCTCCCCTCCCCTCTTGTGACTGCAGGTCCATTGATGACAATTGCTGGGGGAGGGCGAGTTTCGGGGAAGAGATGGTGATAGCAAATTAACCTTTGCCATGTTGGTCTCACACTTCCTTCTGTGCAAATATAGGAGGGTTGGATTGATTTTTCTTTTACTTAACAAAAAAAAAAAAAAAAAAACACTCCCAAAAAGTGTCAATAAAAGGGATTTTCAGTTGTAGCTTTTAAAGTTCCAAAGGCAATGATGACACAAAAGACTCCCCTTCGCCCCAACCACTGGAGGGGGCATTGGTTTCTATCAGTCAAGGAAAGAAATCAAAAAGACAAAGAAAAGATCTATGCACATCTGAATTTGTATAAAGGAGAATACCACTTCTGCCACAAGAGAAAAAACCAGTCACAATTACAATGTCATTAAAAAGAAATAAAATACTTTGAACAAAAGGTGCAAGTCACAATTCAAATAGAACAGAATCTAGTTAAAAATTTCTCTCAAACAGAAATTCCTTTTGTCTTTTATTATTAATAATAATAATAATAATAATAATAATTAAAACAACAACAACATTTACCATAAAACAACTCCTACATGATCAGGAGGAAAAGCTAGAAAAAAAACAAAACAAAGAGAAACAACCTGTCTTCTCTACTTTAAACTGGAAAAAACAAAAGAAAATCAAAGGTTGTCCATGGGTTTGAAAGGCAAAGGTATCACAAAAGGAGGAAAAAGGAGAGATGACCCTTTTAGCACAATGGCGAGGGAGAAGGAAGAGAAGCAGACAAAGAGACACAAAGCGTATTGCACCACTCCTGGGTGTTCTAACCATCGAGGGGAAGAACGAGCAGGGTGAGGAACACAATCTGCCCCACAGGTCGAGGAGGGGGGAGTATGGTGATAAGAGAGACCGAGTTGCTCTTGCCCCAGAGGAGCTCTGGGTCTTGCTATCAGGTCAAATGCAAAGGATGTGGAAATCAAACTACAGGGTGGCCTTCCACTGCCCTAGGGGCTGGGCTTGTCAGACATGGTGTACGCTGGAAAAACAACTCTGGGTTTGGACTTGGCTTTCAGGAGCTCTGCTTATTGCTTGCCAAGGACAGAGCTGCCAAATCCCTCCCCGCCCTCGCTTCCCCTCACGAGGCAGGTGCCAGGATGCGTTTGTCCCGTCCTCTCCTCCTCGTCCCCAGAGAAAGGGGACGTGGGACACGTCTGAAGAGTGGGGTTGAACGCAAGGGAGGACTGAGTCTCCACCATCCAGGGCTGCCTGGCCCTTTGCATTGAAAAGCCCCGCCAAACCCAACGCCACACACGCTCCACAGCCTGCAGGACTCTGGTTAGCTCCGTGACAGCTGGCGTTACAGGCAAATATGGCAAAAATGAAAGAACCGGAACAAAGGACACAGTGAGGAACTGATTATGAGGAAAGGAGCCAGGGTATTTCCAGTGAGAAATACTACGGCGATTTGGCGCAATGCTGCTAGATACTGTTGGTTTAAAATGGACCTTTTCATTTCAAAGCTGTACACAAAACCTGGAAGAGAGGAGAGATGGGAGGGTGTTACAAGCCAGGGCGAGAGACAGAGACTTCTCCCTCAACATCCCTCTGCCCGCCCCATGCTCTAGTCCTACCCAGCCAGCTGCAAGACCCCAGCATTCATGCTGCCAGCGCCGCTACGGCTTGAGAGAAAAGGGAGACGTGCATCAGGAAGGGCCGTGCGCCCCTTAGAAACATGCCCTCTGCTCTACGCAATGGGATGTTAAAAGTCCGTTCAATAGGTAACTGGGTAACCACTGAAAATCTCCTCCCAGGAGCTGGCGGAGTCTCACGGATGCCATTAACTTAGCGGTTAAATGGTTAGTCAGTTACACTCCAACATCCCTACTATGCAACCAGCCGGACCACTGCACTACAGCACCAGGGGCCCCTGAAAGCTCCCCTCTCAGAGAGTCGGTTCCATGGGAGCGGACAGGCAGGCACGAATCAGAGAGATGAGAGATACAGCTGTTCAGAGAGCTGCCTTCTGGCTCCCCCAGTGCGGAGCCCCTCCCTACACATCCTAGCAGACGGGAGACCTTGCTGCATGTGACTGTTCTGGATCAGGGATGGCTGCCTGTTCTGTTCGCTCCCGCAGGGCACCTGGCACTGGCCACTGTGGGCAGACAGGACACGGGGCTGGAGGGACTGTTGGCCTGACCCCGTCTGGCCGCTCTCATGTTCCTGCACAAACCCCAGAGAGTTTCTCTCGCCAATCCCCAGGCTCAGAAGTGCCAAGTCGCTATGGAAGGTCACCAGCAGCAAGTGGATGGGACAGTGCTGCCAACAGGGCACACGGCGGGCCTCTGGAATCCCTGCCATGTCTGCAACATCCTTCTGAGACCCCCGCTAAGGGGGCCAGGAGCTGTCTAGGGATCCCTAGTCTCTGGGCTACTAGTACTGGAGACCTACCCGAGAGGCAGAAAAGGGAAGGCCTGTGCCTACAGGGGAGAAGAGGGATACTCACTCCCTCCTTCCTGTTACACCCCAGCCTGCTCCATCCCAAAGGGCACCTCTGGGTGCTTGTAGCTCAGGAGGACGTCTGTAATACACGTAGATGGGTAACAAGAGGCGTTTAAATGCTGGCTGCCGTCGGCTAGAGATGGATGCTCTGGACCTTCCAATCTTTCCACACAGTCTGCAAGAGCACAAAGAGAAACAGCAGCATTTGTAGGCGAGGGGAGAAAACTCTGCTGCTTGGGCGGTGGGAGAGCCAAGCGGACGGGGGCTCCGGCGAGGCCTGAGGTGCTGGGCGTGGGCAGGGCCGGCCGACAGGGCTGTCTCCCACTGTGACAGCAAGCCACGGCAGTGAGCCTGGCACGGATCCAGGACTTTGCCACGGACACAACTACCTAACAAGTCCCACTGTGCTTTCCGGCCCCCACCCAGCCGTCTCCCCACGGCGCACAGAAGCCAGTAGCATGAGCCTCCCAGGAATCCCAGTGGCACGACACCGGGAATCCGCTATGTGCCTGAAACCAGCCCCACCCAGGCAGACACGCCTGCAAGTGCCACCCCAGATGCAAGCGGGAGGCTGGGAAGAGTGGCGAGAGTCAATCCGCAGAAGCTTTCCACACGCCACCGGCCAGTACACCTCCCACAATGCCTGGTGTCTCAGCCACCAGCACTCGGCCAGTGCAGACACTCCAGCCCTGGGCCACGCTTCCAGAGAATGCCAGTCTACTGTATCACCACGCCCGGGCATCCCGAGAGCAGCAGCTCTGTGTGGGCCCCCACGTGACAGACCAGGATGGCCCCAGCAGCAAGGCCGCTGCCCCAAACCGACTGCACCAGAATCCAGTCGCCTCGGCAGCCTCAGGGAAGGCCTTACCGTCGCTCTCCCTGGCGTGTAGCTGCTGGCTGGTCATGAGCGAAGACTGGCTGAGCACGGCGTCAGACATCCGCGCAGAGCTGAGTGCTTTCCCTGCCATCAGACTCATCCCTGGCAAGTTATCCAGCTGGACCTGAGGAGAAGGAGAGGGCCCGTGAGACCATCACCCCAGTGCTCCCCCACGCCCGGAGACCGTCACCAGGGCCCCTTCGCATCCAGCACGCTAGTGACATCAGGGCCTGACTGCCACCGAACTGCTTCCCAAGGGCTGAGGCTCACAGCACTCAGCACAGGGGCCTGGCTCCCCTCCCTCCATGGCTGAGGCTGCAGCGGTGGGTTGTTCACCGGCCCTGCCTGGCTGGAAGTTCGACTCTTTTGCCCATTAGCAGACACTCATCCCTGGTGCAACTTGGAGTGTTTGAAGTGGAGGGATCCTAGGGGGCACTTGATCCTGCAGGAAAATCTCAGAGCCACTTGAGTCTGCGTGGCGGAACCGGGCCATGCTTGGGTAGCCCTAGCTGGGCTGGTCTCTGCTAGGAGTACACGCCGTCGTGAATGGGACACGGCGAAGGCAACGTGGGCAGCACACTGCTCCCTTGCAAGTGGGCCCCAGAGGCTTGTAAGATGGCCTGGGACCGCCCCAAACCTACATAAGCATCGTCGCTGTTCTGGATGGTGTGATGCCTCTGCAGAGTTCTGGGTCTGTGGTGTTCCGTGGAAGCTGGTCTTGAAGAATAAGCCAGTCCATTGTGATCGGGCATCTCCATAGCTTGTCCAGGAGAACTTCTGTCCATACAGCTCCCTACAATGGATTCTTGGACATCAGACAAAAGAGAAAGGGAATTAGCATAACCATGCCGGCAGTGTCGAGTGGCACACAACAGGGCAAAACTGCTTTACAGGCAGAGCTCCGGCAGCATCTCAGAACTTGTGGGGGATGAATTACAGCCTGTTGCCCCCAAACTCAAGGCACCGACCGCTGTGCGATGAGGGGAGCAGCTGGCCATGTATTTCTTGCTCCTGACTGAGAAGCAAGATTTGGTTTTCTTGACTCCACAGACCAAGGTGGGGCTGGCTCTATGGAAGAAGGTCTCACTAGCGGCTTGACTGCTGACCCCCGCTCACGGCTAGCAGCCCACCAGGACCCCTTCACGAGAACTCAGTGGGAGGATGGAAATATTTCTGTCTCAGCCAGGGACACACTGTTTGAGGAGAAACATTGTCACGGTGTAGGGGCGACACCCACACAACCACCCTCTTGGCCGGGACTGTGACGGCGTGTTGTTTCCACATGCGTGAAGGGGTCGGATGCTCCGGAAGAGACCACTCCGGACAGAGATGCTTATGTGATGCAGGTCGCCTACCGCAGCCTGCATAGCCCCAGAACAGGGAGTCACCCAGACACTAAATCTGTATCAAATCACTGCTCCTTGCCCTTTGCAAACATGTCTGTCAGGAGCCGAGTATCTGGGCAAGTATCCTGACTGGCAAAGTCCATCCATAAGCTGCTGAAGGAGCTGCTGTGTCGCAGGGCAAAGGTGACATTCCTATCAAGTGAAATCTAGTGTTACTACAGGTCGCACCAGACTCCCAGTGACGCCGAGGCACGAGGAAGCTTTTCCTCGCTCACATCCAGCACGCTCCTCCACCAAGCAGGCCTCTCATATTTGTTGTGAGGCAGGCAGAACAAGCCAGCTGCTCTTTATGCAAACTGAGCCCTCTAGAGAACTGACACTTGGTGAAAACACGGGATCAGTGACACTGAAAGGAGGATCCATCTGTTAGATCATCCCATGAATCTGCTGCAAGGGCAGGATATACATCGCCTGCTGGCAGCCTACCAGGCATTCAGCCCATCCCTACCCAGGCTGCTGCGTGGCACCAGACAGCGCCACGGAGAGGCCCTGGTTCGGTTTTCCTGCTCTCCGGCCCACCAGGTACAGGGACTATTCAGGGACAAGACGAGAGGGTTAAGGGAATGGACCACACACAACTCCGGAGCTGCGCTGAGTAGCACAGGAAAACAAAGTGCTGGCAAGAGGCAGAGAGAAAGAACTGCCACCCACCCCAGCTCTGGCTGCAGGTCCCACTGGGGGGGCAGCGCTCAGCAGCCTGCAACTGTCTGCAGCCTGCTTGCTTGCGAAGGTGGTCAGTACACTGCTAGAGCATGAGAGGAGCCAGCTGACGGCTCTCCTGGAGCAGCCCGGACAGCTAGAGGCTCCGCGGAGGGGAGGCGCTGTCTCCTGGACCTCCTGCTCTATCCAAACAGGGCCCCGAGCAAGACAAACCTGTCGCACTTGCCACTGCAGCCAGCACTTCTCCTGGGGCGGGGCGGCTGCATGTGCGTCCATGGTCCATCGCCAGCCCTGTCGGAATTCTCTCCTCCCAGCTCCTACCCGAGCGGGTAAAGCGCCAGGCAGCACGTAGGTATCCACCCGGGCGTAGGACAGTTTGGTCCCCACGTGGCTTCCCCACAACCCAGCGGCTCTTTGCTCCTCCCCCCGTTAGCGAGGAACGCCCAGGACGACCACAGGTTGGCATGCAGGAGGGCTGGGCAGCGCTTTCAATGCTGTATGGCTTCTGGAGTACAACGCTGCCCAGGAGACCCAGCCGTGCGGGCCCGAGCCGGGCTCGGGGACCAGCCCTCGCCAGGCAGTAAGAAGTGACGGCCTGCCCCACGCTACCGGAGGCCCCACCGCACAGTCACACTGCTCTGGGGCATGCACGCCTCGGGCACGCCAGAGGACGGTTCCCAGGAACAGCGCACGTCTCAGTGTGCGCACAGATGTGCAAGTGACCAGGAAGTGGTTCACCATTTCTCAGGCATAAATATCTACTCCTCAGCTTCCCCAGCGCACTGTGCTCTTAGGGAAATCACGCTTTAACCCACTCAGGTAACGCTGCGAATGCAAGCAGGGGCACTCAGACCAGGCTGACAGCTTAGCTTTTGGAGGGGGAGAATAATCATTCAAGAGAAAGCGTCACACAGTGGCACTTTGTTTGGCTTCAATATCCCCCAGCTGGACGCTCCCGTCGCTCTTACGCGCGCATGCACAGAGGCTTGGGCTGTTTCCTATGCAGAGTGGACGTGAACTCTTCGGTGCTATTTACACTGAGGGTTTATTTCACTTAATTCATACACAGGTTGCTGAAACGTTAGCCCGACTGGAGCTGCAAGGGAGCCGGCTCAGCTCCAACTGGGTTATTAAACACAGGGAGGAAAATAAAGGTCAGGGCAGCTCCGCTTTTGAGTACAAAAGTGTACTCTATTAACACTCCAGCTAGCCACATGCACATTCCCCCGTTCCAGAGCCCCTTGCACAACTCCTGGTAAATGTTGACTTGTCTTTATTCATTTACAAAACCTTGCTGTCTAAAGTCTCCCATGAACAGAGCAACTGGCGAGGCACGAGCCTGGCTTTTGGCTTGCTTCGCCATTTGCACCAGTTTCTCTGCCGTTTATTTAGCTGTGTCAATAACAAAAACGACCCACATCAGTAAAAGCAGGCACCCCAGAAGGGGCGTTTACAGAGCCTGCTTGACCTAGCACAGCTCTCTCCCGGGCCAGGGCCATGCCTGGCAACACAAGCACAGCTGGAAAATGGAGGCCTGACAGGGCCAGAGCGTCAGAGATCTCGACCCCCAAAGGCGCAGCGAAGGAAGCTGCTCCTTGCCCGAGATGCATCATCTCAGAGCACTCCTGCCTGAACACGCAGCATGGCAAGATCCCTGGGCATGAGGCCTCCGCAGCGGGCAAAGCACCCGCCCAGCAAGGGAGGCAAGAGAGCGCCTCTGGGGGCATGAACTAAGAAGCGTCTCAGGCCTGACAAGCGTGCCTGCTCAGTGCCCTCTGGAACGAGTGGGAGGATGAATTCTACGCACCGGGCGGCGCTGGAGGGAGAGCGCGCGTTTCAAGAGACCACAGGTCACGCTGGTTTCTCCCCACGCTCTCAGCAGGAGGGCAGACCAGGGGAGGCGAAAGGGGTTTCCACAGGAACAAAAAGAGGCCTGAAGCAGCAGGAGCAAGTCTAACACCCAGTTCTCCTAACTCCCGTCCTTCGAGCTCATTCTGGCGCTGCACTGCGTGTCGGGGTCACAGCAGCAGGGGGAGCTGGCATAAGAAACGACACTGCGCACTGCCGGGGCCTGTAGGGCAGCGGAGGAGCCACCGCAGCTTTGGATACAGTGGTAATATAACAGACGGATACGCCTGATTTTTTAATTTCAAAAAGCCCAAAGCACCCACCCCTTAGCAGCTCATCTCCAAAGGCAAAGGAGGACTCCGGGGTTTATTTCCATTCCCTGCCGCTTACAGTCATCAAACTCCAAGTCCTACAAATCGGGCAGTGTCCCTCCTCCTCGTTTGGTACTAGGGTTGGACATGCCCACAACGTACTTACAGCCTTAACAACCGAAAGGCTCCAGCAATTCTGCCCTGTGCTGTCACTGACACCTAGCTCTGTCTGACGCATACCATCGTCCGTGCTTGGCTGCACGCGGTGTGTATCTGACACTGGAAGAGGCTGCGTAGCGCTAAGTCTTACCTCTGCTGGGCACCTTATTCCTACTGAATCCAGCAGCTTGCGGATGTCTGTAATGATGCGTCCCCAATTCCTGCCCCTGATTAACAGTTCCTAGCAGAGATTCTGGGTCCCCGTGCCCGCCTGCATTTAACAGCAGTGGGCTGTCATGGCCACCTTTGGTCAATGTGTTTGAACTCTTATTGTCCGGAAAGCTGTCCCTGGCGCCCTCGCACGCACAGTCCTCCTCCATGCTCTCCGAATGGCTCAGAGCCGGCGGGTGTCCGTACCCGTGCGGTGCCCCTGATGCAGATACCTGCTGGATACATTCTTGTGCCCTGATTTTTAAGGGATGCTGGGGGCTGTTGTGATGGTAGGTGTCAGCGTTCTGATAAGGCAAAGACAACGACTGCCGCTCCGACAGGTTCTGTCCCATGCTGGGGCCCACGCTCCCAGCGTCTCCTTGGCTCATGTGCCTGAACAGCTCTTGAAATTCTTGCTGCTGCTGCTGCTGCCGGCGTTTGATGAGCTGTGCAAATTCTGCTGGGGGCAGTCGCATGTCCGAGTGCCCCGTGAGCGAGTGCCGGGGGGAAAGCAGTCCCTGGAGGATGTGCGGTACCTGCTGGTGTCGGCTGTAATCCGGCGGGGTTGGGGACAGCAGTGCCTGCTGCAGCGCCGATGCTGTGTAGTGCTGCTGTTGATGTGCGCTTTGAGGGAAGCTGGGGAACTGGTCAAGCTGAGGGACTTTCAGGCCTTGCTGTGTTGCAGGGAACCCCACCCCCGCTGAGGGGCCGTAGTTGCCGGGGGATGCGCGGGCCTGATCCGAGAACAGGTGGGGATGTAAGTGCACCTGGTCGTAGTTCGTGGGGGGGTACCTGTTCATGTTCAGGCTGCAAGGAAGAAACAACAGTGACTGTGTTGCAGGACATGAACGTAGAGGAGGCCGCCCTCCACCCCACCCCTGGGCAGGCACAAACTACCAACCAACTCCAGTCACGGCAGTGGCGTGAGGGCCTAGCTGGAGCGGGAGAGAGGGACGAAGGCTGGTCACACAGCACCTCTTTCCGGGGGGGCGCAGAGACAGCGCATTCAGACCCGGCAGCCACAGTGCCAGGAGGCTCTCTCGGGCCTGCTAAGGAGGAGCGCTTGAGGGCTCTGGAGAAAGCGGGGGCAGAAAGGTGCCGTGAGAGGCTAGCGCAGGCTCTGGCCAGGCCAGGTACAAAGGCAAATTGGAAACGGTCTCTCGATCCATGAGTGTGTGGCTCTGACCGGCTATCATGGATTTATTTCTTCCCTCCCCTCCTCCTTCTGAAAGCAGAGGGCTCAACCTCAGCAGTGCCTACAGAGAAAGCTGGCTCAGGCGATGGGCCGCTTCACACAGTCCTGCCCCGTCACCTCCCGCCCCCGGCTGTCAGAGCCTCCATCCCACCGAAGTCCAAGGGTTCAGACTAGGATCACAGCTAGCGCCAAAAGGTGGCCAGCACATAGCCAGCGGCTGGGAGGGAGCCCGGCGCTCAGGCGCCTGCCAAACAGCCTCCGCGCATGGAGCCATGGCGGCAGGACTGTGGGCTGCCCTGTTTCTTTTCCCCTTAACACCTCCCCAGGTCAGCCAACAGCCTTACCTATGAGACTCTGCACTGTCAGCACTGAGCTGCTTGGACAGTGGCCTGTGACCGTACGTGAGAGAGGCCATCAGGTTAGCACGATGCTGCATTTGGATCTGATTGGCACTCGGGTTGATGGACATGCCCCGGGGGTGGGGGGACATGCCCTGCCCTGCCACAGCTGCCCCTGGCAGGAGGTTGTTGTTGTGCATCTCTCCAGGCTCTTGCACTTGGATGGTGACCTGCTGCGGCTGGGATTGCTGCGGCATGCCCATGCACGTCAGGGCCACGCTGGGGGGAGGGGAGCAGTTACCAGACTGCTGGAAGATCGCACTGTGGGAAGGCATCCCTTGGAACTGGGGCTGAGAGGCTGCACCTGTGAAGAACAATCCCTTTGAGTCACTGGGCTGAGCTGCCGCAGGGCTCGACAGCATCTTCTGTTCCACAGAGACTGCGCCCGATGCTAGGCAGGGCCAGAGGGAACATTTTCAGGGCTAAGCTGCATTTCAGTGGGTGATGAGGTGTGCACCTTTTTATCTGGAGCTCAAGTTTTATCATACTGCAGCCGCAGCTAAAATACTTGCAAGGCAAGAGAAACACTGCCAGTATCAAGTTATTTGCATAATCAGAGACTAAGATCCCTCCTCCCGCCTCCGGAAATTATAAGCCAGTATCTCATGACACGAAATGTAACAACACATTCCAGCTGGCAGGATCCAGGGCAAGTACTCTGATAACACCAGCCCCTTCTGCCAGATGGAGTCGCTCCTCCGTCGGCTCCATGCGCCAGGCACGGAGCTGGGGAGAAGGCATGAACTGTTTTCCCAAGTGCTTTATATAAAACCATAAGGTTCTGACAAGAGGCCTGCAGAAGAGGCGGACAGATGGCTGGGTATAGTCAGTGCTTACCATGAGTCTGTAGCATGCTGCTATTCACAGGCGGGGGGCTGCTATTTGGCTGCCTGAAGAGATGATTATTAGGGTGGTTTGGGGGTGGACTAGATGGCTGAATCCGTAACCTACATGAGAAAATAAGCATCTTCGTAAATCCCTCTTCCTGATAATGCCACTTGTTCAAGTTTCACAACGGAACTCAAAGTGCTTTTAGAAACCCAAATACAAAACTCTCCTTGGGAATCCTGAAGGCTTTGCAACAGAATTCCCATTGCACTTGCCTTTGCTAGTTGGACGGGGAGTATGACACAGAGGTTACAGCATGAGCCCGGTGTGACGGACCAGGCCGTGTCTGGGCACAACTAAGGGCGTCCGCTCAGGGCGAATTGCTCAAATCCGGGGCTTCTTACAGCCCCCTTGACTGGTGACCTCTCCACACAGGCCACAAACCAGTCCCACAGAGCGCTTCAGCTGCCTGCCTGAAGCCTCCCGAGCAAAACCCCTCCGACACCCCAGCAATATCTGTGCCCCAGATGGCCCCGGGCCTCATACACAGGTGGGGGGTCCTAGCACCCAATCCCTGACACCCGGGAAGCAGGAACATTGTGCCCTCAGGTTACTTTCAAGGTTCTCTCGGACAGAACAGTTCAGAACCCGACTGTCACGGACACGTGCTCCTACAGCTCCGCTGCAGCCGGCACATGCCTCTAGGAACGAGGCCCAGTTCTCTAAGGTTCTATGCTCCCAGCTGACTCTGGGGCAGGGCTCAGAGCATCACTGACCCAACGCCCACCCACCCGCCTGCCCGCCCACCCACACTTTGCCAAAGCAAAGCCCCTTCTTTACCTCTGCAGCTGGTGAGTGAGCAGAGCTGGCTGGTTTTCACATGGAGCTTGCAAGGGAGGAGATGGCTGAGGTGGGCGAATACAATCCTGAGCCAGGCACCAGAAAAAAGTGTTTGAGAGCATTCAGTTCCATCTCAAAACGGAGAGAGTTTGGACCAATACATTAAGATACACCAGGGCTCCCCAAATCCTCAACCCGAGCCAGCAGGCCTTGCTGGCCTAGCAGCTGTGCACACACTGCTCTTGAAAAGCCTTCCCACCTGCTCCTCATTACAGTTGGTCAAGCCATCTAACTTGCTGCCTCTACAAGTTTTCCCCCCTCGTCCCGCAGGGCATTCCAATAACTTTGTGTTAGACACAGCAGGGAAAGCTGGCTAGGCTTCTGGGAGCATGCCCTTGCTCCAATACCTGAATCTGCTGATGGAGAATTTGATGATGCTGCTCCTGCTGGTACAACATGTGCTGCTGCTGTGTCTTCTCCAGAGTTCTCTCATCCATATGCCCACCATACATCTTCTGTAGCTGCTCGCACTCCTGCAATGAATTCAACCCCCCAGCGTGAGCAGCTCTGCACAGCGACCCTGCTGCGCACAAAAGGCTTTCGCTCTCCAGGCTCCTCGGCTGAAAGCCAGCGAAAATGAAGCAGCTGCGGGCGAGAAATCCTAAGCTATGGAGTTGGCAGCATGTGTGTGCATGCCAGGCTCAGCCCAGCTCTCTCACGCCACCAGAAAGGAAGAAACGCTCACGAGACTAAACCAGGGATGGGCAAAAGGATCCAGCCCACAAGCGGATGGGTCCAGCCCGCAGAGGCCCTGCTGCTCCCCTACCGCCAGGCCAATTGGGGCGAGGGAGGCACACGAAGTTTCCTCAGCCCTGCCAGGAACATTCGACTTCGAAGCTCCGTGTGCTCCTGGCAGGGCGGAAGGAGACGTCTCACGCTTGGGGTGGCCAGGTGTCCGGTACTGACCCGCACAGGCCGGTATTTTCGCCTCCTGTCTGGTAAAAAAAATTCAGAAAATACCAGTCACCTACAATGTCCGGTATTTTCCCGGCCAGGAAGCGAAAATCCCGGGTGCTTACCTGGTTCCGCAGGGAGCTGTCTGGCCTGGAACAGGGAGACAAGATGGCGGACGGCCGCCCGCAGCCTGTTAGAGCCAAAGAGCCTCAAAAGCATTTCTTAAAGGGGCCATGCTGGTTTTTAAATTTTTTTGTTTAACTCTCAGGGTCCTTTTTTTTTGAGGGGGGGAGGGGGACCTCAACAACTTTGGTCTCCCCCTTTTTTTCCCTCCTCAACAGAATTTTTTCCCAAGTGGGTTTTTGTGTGTGTGTGGGGGGGGGGAGGGGGGGGAGGGGTTTTGGTATTTTTGGTTAAACCATCCAGCAACCCTACTCACGCTCCCCCACCCCCAAACCTTGATTGGCATCTTCCTGTGCCCTGTCCAGCACTTAGAAGTGCTACTCACTCCTGGAAGGGCGGGAGGAGGCTTCGTGTGCTCCCCCACCCCCAGGCCCACTGCCAAGGGCATGGTGCTTAGTGGGAAGGGGGGCTCCCCTCCCTCAGACCAATCATGGTCTGGGGGTGGAGAAGCCTGAAGCATCCTGGCCACGCCTCTTCCTTTTGAGGCCCTGCCCCATTTCTGAAGTGGCCCCCTGGCCAAAAATTATTGTTCACCCCTGGACTAAATGCACGGGCTATTTAGTGTCTGTAGATGGCAACTGCAAGGAGCACAACGGCAAAAGCAAAGCATTGGTCATGCAAACCCCAAGACTGAATTAGCTTCTCCCGCTCCTGCTGTGTTCACGGTCCTCACTTGAGCACGATTCCTTGTGCCCAACACACACTTCTACAGCGACACACCGCGCTCCAGAAAACGGGAAGGCTGCAGCTGACATCAAGAGGACGATGGCAGCGCTATAAAGCTGCCCCGAGACACAGAAGGAGGGAGAAGAAATGCTCCCCTGCTGTGGGGCTGAAGAATGCTTAGCTCCAGGAGACAGAGCAGGGGGAAAGTTTTCCTCCTTTGTTTCCTCTCCCTCTGTGAGCTAGGCTGACCCACGGCATCCCGCCTCCTTCCTTTACCTGCTGAAGCTGTTTGATGCTGCTGTTATTGCCCATTTTCTCCAGGTGGGCTTTGAAGGCCTGGATGCTGGCAGCACCATCCGAGAAGCGGCGAACGGGGGAGAAGCGCTCCGTGGGCAGGTGCAGGGTGTTTGAGTCCTTGTAAACAGAGCTGAACACACAGGGAGGTGGGTTAGAGACGCCAGCCAGAAACACTCAGCTAGAGACATTTCCGGTCCATCAGCTCTGCCTGCCTAGAAGCTGTTTCAGCGTGAGAAGTCAAGTGCCATTAGGTTATTCGGCGGCAGCAGGCTACAGGGTTAGCAAGTCATTTTGTGCCGGGGCAGGTACTGGCTCTAGGAATTTGCCAATCTGGTTTATTCCTCGCTCGGGCACCGATCCATAACTGGCCACCCAGTTGCATGCTCATCTATCTGCATTGGGGGAGCAGCAGCCAGTCGGGAACGTGCTGTCTTAGACGAGGTGTTTCTGCTGCTGGGAGCCGCTGTCTCTCTATGGTGCGGCCTGTTCTCTAAGAGGAGACCCGAACAAGCACAGGGGAGTTTGCTTGCTCGGTCTTCTTCAGAAACACGGCCGCCCAGCAGGTTAGGATTTCTAATTTAAACAAGCCCAGGAGCAGGACCAGCCTAACACCCCCCTCGCCCCCCGCCCCACTTCCTACCCCAGCAGCTGTACCTGCAGCCTGGAGAGAGACTCTGCGGTGTACTGAGAGAAGGGCAAGGACATCCCAGAGATACCTGGGAAAGGAGGGAACCTGGAAATACCAATTTGTGCATCAAAAGGGGCATCTGCAGGGAACGGAGGCTTCTCATTTGAACGCCAATCAAGCTTAGCCCACCCCTGGGAGCAAGCCCTGCCCTCTCTCAGCACACAGCCCGGCTTCAGGCTTCCACTTCCTAAACACGACAGGCGGGTGAGCCCATCAGACCAGTGCATTCCCAGCACGGACACATGCCAGCCCTGGAGGGGGAGGGAGTTTGGAGCTAAACATCTTCTGCCAAACGCTGCACCTCCGGGGCTGGGCTGGGCTGCTGCATTCGTAGGGCCCCTCGGGCAATGCAAACGTCTTACAAACACATCTCCAGTCTTCAGTGTGTGCAGGTAAAAAAAGTCTCAGGTGACTGTGGATGGGGGTGGGTAAGGCAGGAATGACTCTGCTAGCTACAAGCTATCCAGTCTGTTCTGCCGCTGCTCTGAGCCAGAGGACAGGCTGGCATCCGGAGGGAGGGGGAAATATGTCGATTTGCACAGAGGGAGAAGCCTCTTCTCCTGCTAGGGACTGCCTTGTTTCAGCCTCTTCCCTGCCCAGCCACCCAGCAGCCTGTGCGCTCGATGCCGGACCATCGCGAGACACATCTGAGGATAAATGGCCCAAGCGCACTATCGGGGCAATGTCTGCAGAGGAACTCGCACCCTGCCCTTCCCATCCGCAGCTCTGCTTTCCACAACTGGAGGTCAGCAGACATTTTCCCAGCAAGCAACTTCCCTTTCAATCTGGGTTCCTACATATCAGCCAAATCCAAGCGCGTGCTGACCCTCAAGAATACATCCTTCGAGAGTCCTCCTGAGCACCGCTGTCGCTCAGCCCATAACGCCCCAGGTTGTTCCTCTGTCCAGGGGGCTCAGCGTTTTTACCACTTCAATCCACACAGAAAATGAGTGGCCAAGAGTCTGGCTGCAGCAATGGCCTTTGTCTGTGAAAGGGCCTTAGGGACCAGGTCTTTAAAGCACCCTGAGGACGGCTGGTTGTAAAACAAACCGAGGACAATCTTGCTCCATACAGCAGTGCTTCAACAGAGTTATGTCAGACAAAGGGATACTTTGAATATTTCATGGACGTGCAGCGTTCTCTGGTGAAGCCTGTGTGGAAAGACCAAGCTGAGTCTCCGCTGGAGAGGCTACCCCTTACAGCAGCAACGTTTTCATTCATCTTGTAACATTTCCAGGGTGTCAGTTCCAGTTCTTTTCACATACTCAGCCTTGCCTGGTGAAAGGCATTTGAGCTTTTACCACTTACAGATCTAAATATGTCCCACTAAGGCTAGAGTTGGCTGGCTGTCATGCTCCCTTTCGGCCAGTCAGCATGCCAAAACAGTCCGTCTGACCTTCCGACTCGAACGGACAGCAGAAAGGGAGCATTGTGCACCTGGCTCCTAAAGATGCTGGCATGGTGCACAGCAATCCTGCCCCTTGCACTCCAGTCTGGCTTTTCAGACTAACCCACTCGGAGGCCTCTAAGTACAAATCACCTTCAATCAGCACCAGAATAGAAGCGGACAGCTGTCCAATAGCTAGTGCTTTGTGGTTTACTGCTGGCCATGCCACACTCCAAGGCACAGCCTTCCCCTAGCTATGTCTCAGGTGTACACGGACTTCGAGGCAGCTGGTCTGGGGCCACATTTCATTTTCAAGTCTCCCTCTTTGGATCTCAGGCACATCTGTAGCCTCGCAGGCTTGCAGGCCTCTGCTGTGACATGAATGTGCCACTGCTATCCTCGGCACGTTAAAAACAGAAGAGCAGAGACCGGATGAGAGCTGAGAGCCAGAGAGGGAAGGGGCAGGCGCAGGCTCCTTCTAAAGAGCCTGACAACAATATCTTCATTTCAACCTCTGCTCTGGAAGCAGGATGTACAGTATGTTCTATTTACTTTGAAAGGCTCTTTCTTCTCTTCCTATAAAGCACTTCTATGACCCAAGAAATCTCCCTGCTCCTCTCCTGCCTCCCTACTAGTGTTTCTACCCAGGCGTAATTCAGGGCAACTCTGGGTTTCTCTTTTGTCTTCCAGAGTTCCAGCGTGGCACGAAGGCCGACTCAGTCTGCTCAGAGTTCACCTGTCTGCTGATTACACCAGTGCTCAGCTCAGCAGGTATCTGGCTACAATAAAGAGTGCTTTAACAAGCTTGCCAGCATGAGCTGGTCAGAGGGTTTAACAACATCAGCACAGATCTGATCTTCTAGGTAACCGCTTTCTCAATTGTTCAGCAACTGAAATCAAAGAGGAAGAAGAGCGGCTTGTACACTTGTGTGTCACACCCTGGGTGCTGTGGGGTCAGGGTGCAGTTTTTAAGCAGTGACTGCGACAGTTGCGCCTTCAGATTGCTGCAGCGGCGAAGGACTCTAGACTGAGTCGTTCTCAAAGCCAGGAGGGCCATTCCTCAGAATGGGAGCTCGCTTGGATCCAGTGTTGCAGCAGCTGCCTCCGTCACAAGCGTTATAATTGTTCTCCCGCAGCCCTCTCCTCCAGAGGGTTGGATTAGAAACCAAGTGACCAAGAGGGAGCTTTGCACAGAGACTCTGCAGTGGAAACACACAACTCTGGTGCAGTGAGGTTTCTAACCCTACGCACTGCACTGCTTACTCCTGGCGCAGCCTTTCGGACGGCATTCCACAGCAGCTTTCTTACTCACCACAGGGCTGAGCCTACTAGGAGGTGAACAGAGCCTCTGTTCCACTGCACTGGAGAGCTTATTCCTGACCCTGGGCAAAGGCAGCCATCCTGGCAGATCATCTCCAGCCACAGAAGTGGGGCTGGAGGGGAAGAGCCAGCCGAGCCCTGCCCATGAGTCCACAGATCCCCTGTGCCATGCGCTTAGCACGGGAGGAGCCTACAGCTGCTCCGAAATGAGACATGGCCCACAGGGCCAGCCAAGGTCTGCTCCTTTCTTCACTCAACCCCCGTCTGCACTCCATTCACATGGCCTCCGAGCAGGTTCCCTGGCACAGAGCTGCCCCGACGGCCGGTGCCATTACTCACCGGTGCTGATCGGGTACCAGGTGTGGAGCCCAAACCCGGGATCGAATAGACTGCTGTCCTAGCTGCCTCTGCAAGTCTGGAGGGATTTCAGCTGTAGGGTTGGTCATTGCCAGAGTGTGCCTTTTTGGCCTATTTGCCAAGTATCTGCAACAAGCAGGAGCACATTTTATAAGTGGAAGAGACTGATGGGAATACTCCAAAAGAAGGGAGCAGAAGCAGATAATCCAGAGAGTAATTAGGAAAGAACAAACGCTCACTGCAGTGCTCAGAGCCTGCTGTGAGTTGTGTAACACCCATCAAAGAGCAAACGGGACTGCCAGTGTGTCAGATTAAAGGGACGTTAACTGCTTAGTGCAGGACGGAAGTCCTAGCCAGCTTTATTTCCATGCCAACCTTGGGAAAGAACAGACTGACCATTCATCCCCTCAGGAGGAAAGCCTTACTTTGTCTCACAGGGAATTCAGGCACATTCCCTGCTCTGGCTGCAGGGACTAGAGTTACGCTCTGTTGGGATTCTTTCCCATGAAGTGGTGCTAGTCTGACGGCTAACAGCCTGGCCGGCCTTACATCACATGCACTAATGCCCGGGGGACCGCTTGTGTGCGTAATACCAAAGCACTGGCCAGAGAGCTGGGCACAGTGCAGACAGATGCTGTGCGTCTTTCCCTGCATGGCTGCTGCCTTGCAATGTTTTCAGTCTGGGGGCTGAACCGGGATCAGCATATTCAATGGCTCCACCTCAGATGATGGCATTTACAACACAGCTATCACCACTGGAGATTAGACTGTGACCTGCTCTTTGCACTCTGTGGGTGACCCACCCCGGAGCCAAACAGAGGTCGAGACAGAGGAAAAGTGCGTGTCAGGTGCGCCATCTAGTCCCCGCTGGGGGACACTTCTAGCATAGCCGGGGAAGCCGTGTTTGCCGGCTGCACCAATGATGCCTAAAGCAAAACTGAGAAGGGAATGTGAGGGGCAAACTCAGCCCCCCTCCTTCCTGAACCCTGCCTTCTGACTGGAGACGAGCTCACAGCTCACTTGAGGTGTTTCGCCTTTGGGCCCCGTTTGTGTTTTGTTGGATGCCAAGGCCAAACAAGGCAGGAAGGGCTCGACAGTGAGATGGCAATGGATGCAGCTACCTTGGGATGTCCTGGCTCTTGGGCAAGCCCCAGGCCAGCTTCTCAAGAGCTAGCTATGGTGGAAACACGGAGCAAGCTTCGAGGACAGGGTGGAATCAGTGCCTGGACCGGGACTAGGCAAACCTCCCACCACTGTGAATTTGGGCGAAGATGCATTGGCGGAAAGGGCTCGACAGTGAGATGGCAATGGATGCAGCTACCTTGGGATGTCCTGGCTCTTGGGCAAGCCCCAGGCCAGCTTCTCAAGAGCTAGCTATGGTGGAAACACGGAGCAAGCTTCGAGGACAGGGTGGAATCAGTGCCTGGACCGGGACTAGGCAAACCTCCCACCACTGTGAATTTGGGCGAAGATGCATTGGCGGAGAGTTATGGCTATGCAGAGCGTAGTGTACACAAAGCCCGAGGGTTA